AAGTTTGTACAATCTGTTGCGTTTGGTATGACTCTCATCTACCACCACACCAAATTTTAAAGTTATTGTTATTATTATTCATAAAAGTGACAAAATTATAGCCATTTTTGTGTTTGGTAAGTTCGATTAGTTGGGACGGACATCTTGAATCAGCTTCWCTCCAGATGTCAATCATTTACATCCAATATGTATTTTCTGAAATGTTTATTTTTMAATCCAAACTGTGATTCAGCCAACAACACTACAGAGAAATAAACACACATACAGACACTGGAGATTACATCATTGCCCACTTTTTGACAGCAGGAGACAACAAATGATTTMATCTCTAAAGAAGCAACACTCAGGACTTTGGGACATAATGTAAAAGTAAACCAACAGGAGTGTTGTGTATAACAAATAGAGCACCTCCATTTATCACAATAATCAGGCTCCAGGGTGCACTCATGGCCCGACACACATACATTCRCCCATAAAAAAAATAAAATCCACCTCAGCCTGATCAGTGTTTACCTGCAAGGCTTGAAAAAACAGGATGAGAAGACTCCCTGAGGGTGCTTCTAGTGACTTTGTCCTCTCCTTCTCTTTAGCACACTGACATGCCAGTTTCGTTGTGTTATTCTCATTTTCAAAATAAAAGCCCCAGAATTATTTGAAGGAATGCATATAGTCTTTCTTGAGTGTCAGTATAGAATGTAACCACAAGATGAGCAGGAAATGGTTGATCGACCTGAAAACGACTCAGTTTGCATGTTGGATTAAAACGAGCAGCGATTCGGCTGCATGTTCACACACCACTGACACAAACAAATCCAATAATCTGTTAATCTGCAGGCAGGTCAATATGTCGATGCTATCTTTTGMACCGAGCAGGAGTAGGTATCGTTTCTTTGAGAGTGCTGGACCTGAAAAAGGCTTTAGGGAGATTTGTTTAAGCTTCTCTTTACTTGTTGATGAAGAGACAGAGAAGGAAAGAAATATGGTTTGAATCGAGGAGCAAAAAGGTTCAAGGTCAGATAGATCTGCACAAAACTTCAAGTGGATTTAGATCAAACAACAAGAACATTGTAGAGAAATAAAGATTTTATATTTATGTTGTGTTTGACAGAATTGCTGCAGCAACACTGACACGTTTATTAATGAACTAAATTAAACTAAAGACCTAACAATCCTTAAAACATGCATGAGTTTGCTCACTGCTGACTCCTGAAGGAGGGAGCAGCCTAAAGATCAACATGATATGTCACACTCTGTGTGTCATGACTCTCAGCCACTACCACTTTATTTTTGTAAAATTGTACAAATTATAGCTATTTTATGGTTCTTAAAATCAGCCTCTTGCTGCAGCCGCCTTGAACTGAACTGACTCGAAGTTCATCTTTTATAGATGTCAGTTTGATTCAGCCCTTCRTGAGATATTTTGCTAACAGACACGTGCACACAGAAACACAAACATATACTGTATATCAGTTGATAATAAAGTCTGAGGTTAAATAATAAATGAGTAAATGTTCATAACTCAGACTGGACTCACATAAATTTGCACAAACAAATCAATCAGCAAAGATTTGGTTTCATTTAATCTTTCAAATCCCATTACCGGYGTGCGCTCCCGACTTGCTAACCCTGCACCGAACCAGAGCAGCGTAACRTGTCACTGGTCCAGTCACAGAGCAGAACCCATGTGACGTATCGACAGTTGTTCTGGTTCTGCTCGGACGGGACCGAGTAGGTTTCTGATTAAGGCCAGAGAGATTTTGCCGGAGCGAATGAAACACGAGCTCTCAGAATGGGCTGATTGCCGAGCCACTCATAATCCCAAGCATTAGTCAAATTTATGTTTTCATTTGATGATAGCAGCAGTTCTTTTGTAAGGTTCAAAGCTTCAGTCTGTTACTGATGGGTCTGAGATTTTTAATATTTATTTACCTTTTTTTAATAAATGTATCAAATTTGGATCTGTTTTTTAAAAGTTTGCATTCCCACGCTCTACAGGAAAAGTCATGCTTTTTTTTTAAAAACAAACTTCAGGGAAAACCTTTTCCAGTCTGACTTTAGACCAAACGGTCACACCATCCAAATATTAGTGTCTCAGCATTCACATWATTTCTTCATTATTCATGTATTGTGCAAGGACCATTTTGTTTCTTTCATTTGTTGAAGCTCACTGAGCTTGTATGTTTTTCTTTTCTTTTTTTGTTTTATGATGTGAGGCTACTTTGCTTAGACAATGCCAGGAGGAACTGCTGTCAGGACTAAAGCAGCATGGATGGTGTGAAACAGCAGATGACGTGTGAGGGGCTTTGGGACAAGAATCAGAGAGCTGGAGACGAGCTGGAGCAGCCGTCCTGCTGCCCAGCAGGCTTCGGCCTCATTAGATTCAGCAGCAGTTTGGTTTTTAAATGTGTGTGCGTGTGCATGTGTGTGTGTTTGCTTGCACAAGCGAGAAGGCCCAGTGGGGAGGAGCAGATGCTCCATCCTCACGCTGAAAACTCCCTCAGTGTGTGTGTATGTGTGTGTGTGTGTGTGTGTGTGTGTGTGTGTGTGTG